GTCTGAATTGTTTTTTATACCTAAAGTGGAACTCTCTGGCTCTAATTTAGAAGTAACAGTTTTAAGTACAACCAATTGGTGCTTTACAGCCTTGGTATTTCTCTTTGTTTTTTAAGATAACATTAAGTTTGAATGGTTGTTCAGAATTTTCCATCTTGGTATGTTTCTGAGACACACGGAAAGAGCATCAAGATATTCTGTTATCAGTATTCATATTGACAACCACCTGATTTATGATTGGTTCATATACACTGCTTCTTGATCAAAATAAGATTAGGGTTAAAAAAAATTACGAAAAAAACCCACTTTGTTCAAGGTGTTCTCTACGTCCTTAAATTGGTGATTCATTCTGATAGACCCCTGTGTACTGGCTCAGGCTCTCCAAGCTAAACTCGTGCCTGCAACATCTGAGTTGCATCAAGTTCCTTCTCTTGTAACGTACCTCAGGTGCACCGAGTGGTTTTGTAATTATATGACAGGCTTTCAGGAAAGCAGAGCTACTCTGATTATACAGTTTCTTACATTATTAATGAAGATTATCTTCTTTGGCAAGATAGCTTTAAAATGTAACTTAAACTCTAAGTTTTAAAGTCGCCATAAATAATCCTATATAATAGCAGGCTACATTGTCAAAGCTTCTGATTATTGGTAACTTCTACTGAAATGGAAACCCATCCATTTTAGCCTAAGAGTTTGAATATTTTAGCCATAAGCTTCTTTAATCAGCATGTGGGATGTGACTCAAGAGTAAAAAAATAGCTTCCTACAGCACATGCAAAGAGAAACTTCGGAAATATAGTACATCCGCTGCCTTTTCCCAAGGATGAAAATGCTGAACTCCCACTTTTGTCAAGCTAAATCATACCCAAAGGTAACTGCATCAGCTCTCTCCTGTACAATCCCTGTGACACAGGAACAGCAGATTATGCTTTTATGGTGGTAAAACCTCCATCCCTGTCATTTGAAACACAGCACCCATAGGTTAAAACAAAGGGGAACACTTGAAAGACACATTAAATCTTTCTCGAGTAATAAAAATCACACTGAAGAAATGAAAATGTTTTCTGGAATTGTGGATTTCAATGTCACGTGAATGGAAACACACTTTATATCTCTCTAAAATGCAGGAAAATTACAGCAAGGTAATAATTTTTTCCATCTTGTCTTAAACTTGCAGAGACAGAGGATACTAATCAGAAAAGCACGTTTCATCCTCCTCTTTCACCTCTTGTCCTAGCAAGTGGCAGTAAACCTTTATACATTATGACTGGGAAAGGTCAAGGAAAGGGACAGAAAAAGGTATGAAGAGAAATAAATAAGACCATAACACAGGGATCTCCTCAAATTAAAACAAATGGTATTTCTGAAAAAAAGTACTCCATATATAGTGTTCTATGTATATGCACATAGATTCCATGTCAAACTGTCCTGATTTCGATGACACATTCATTTTTATTTCTAAATCTCCAGTTTAAAATCAGATTGTGTGAACAGGAACAAAACTGAGTATTTTCACAGGTAAGGATTTGGTGTGCTTTGTCACAGTGCAGTCTACCTGCAATCCCAGCTTTATTTAAGCTGAGCCAATACATTGCTAACATTTTCGGGAAGAAATCTATTCAATACTATTCACACAGACACTACTCAATGAAGCGTGCTCTCATATTCAGACAATTTCTTTCTGGGTCTCTGCTCCAGTGACTGATTGATAAATTAGTCTCAGCAAATGAAATCACTATTACTCACTGTACCTGCACCCGTCGAGGAACATCTGAGATGAGACAAACTGTTCAAAATCCATCCTCCCTCACAGTTAATTCCTAAAAATAAATGAATGTTCTACTGCAGTACAAAAATGGATTCTGTTCTTTCCCTGCCGCTTAAGAACAAGCCTTAAGATTTCACTCATCACAAAAATGAAGGATTTTATATTTTGCCAGAAGTGAGAAATACAGGTATTACCGTATTTTATTTTTTAAGAAAAACAAGTTATGCACCACGCATAAGTGATCAATACTTTGCTACTTCCACCTCACACATGTTCAGACTTTTGTAAGAAAGTGTCAAAAAGCTATTGTGTTAATCATCATGGCCACTTCACTACTGCACTTCCTAATTTGGAGAATTTTGAGTTTTGATGAGTGATTTGGTTACTCAATTGAATACATAAATACTCACCTGAATATGATCTCAAATCCTTAAGGAATACATTTTATTTCCACCTAAAGTGCTATACCTTTTTATTATCCATTTGACTCCAAGGGGTTATTGGTTTTTTTTTTTACTGTTATGACCACTACTTCAAAAAAAAATCACAATCAAGCCTCCAATCATTAAAAAGCAAAACAAAAAAACTTTGCTTGGGGATATTAATAGACACATTTCCAAGTAAATTTAATGTATTTACTTGTAGCTCACATCACATGGAAAAATAATTTGAAAAAAGCTATTTGTTTTCACCATTACTATAGTCAACTGTCAAGCCAATCCTGCAGGTCTCCAACTTTAAACAAACCTTACAGTGAATTTATAGATTAACAGATCAGAACACTAAAGCAACAACGCAACAAAAGAAGCAATAAGGGTTCTCCTCCCACTCATGGCTTAACAGCTGTCTAAAATCAGAAGTATATATGGTGTATATCTGATATACGGTGTACATCCGGTGTATATCTGATATATGGTGTATACCTGGCATGACATTCATAGTTATCCTCAAAACCTATGTATGGGAAGTTTTCCTTTCTTGGATCTCCACTTTCCTATCTCAAAGGACAAACTAGGCATGGTTTAATGATATCATCTCAATCCACTTGGAAAACCTTCTTAATTCTTACTAGATCAACCTAATCTGAGGCAAGATTTTGGTTTTAGTTAGAATAGTAAACCTTATCTAGTTAAGTGTAATATTAGGATGTTAACTAACACACACAAGCCAACTGTTAAGGAGCCCACTGCACACAGATGGTAACTCATGCTCAGACCCCTAGCACCACAGTAAGCCCAAAAGGCAGTGCCTCATGCCATCCTCCCACATCTCCTGTTCCCAGGGTCATACGTGCACTAATTCACTGGCTATGTGCTTACCTGGGGTGAGGGGGATCCACTATCTACCCTCATTAAGAACCAAGTGGAAGGTGACGACCCATCTTTACTACCAGAACCAGCTTCAAATTTCACTATCAAGATGTTTTCCCTCTTCTCTTAGAACCTACCTAGGTAGTCAAAGCATTTGCTACACTGCAGAGCAAAGCACACACACAATTTTAGTCTCGCAGGACTGAAGAGTTGCACCCTCCTTGACTGCTGCACTGCTCAGCTATTCTGTAGCTTTCCGGTTTCACCTTCAGCTTTCCTTAGAGATACCTTCCTTGACTGAAATATAAATCACTGACAAGACAGGGCTCTGGCTTCAGCATTTTCAACTTCATTAACACAGTGAAAAGATGGATTTACCATCTACTGAAATTTGTGAGTTTTTAGGTTTCCAAAATACAGCCTCAAGGTCAAAGATCACGCCAATTCTATTATTCCTATGTTTGTTCTCAATCAGCAAGACTAACCCAGGATAGTTTTGGCATAAGCACCTAATCTAATTCAAGTATTACATTCAATGAATGGAAACACATGATGGTTACCAATCCCTTTAAGAACAAAATTTTCTAAAAATAATAAGCTCTGTTTATGAGCAGCCAAGTACAGTCTTACATATATGCCCCAACACTCAATCACAATATACTGACACACTTTAAATATGGACAAATTACTTATACAACATGAGTGACCTTCTTCCTGACAAATTCTACTCAGAAGGCTAAATATATACTGCTTGTCTTCATATACCAAAGTATCCAGCCAGCTGGTGCAGAGAGGAAAGAAAACCAGCTTACATTTTTCACCCAAGAGGTAAGGAAAAACAAAACAAAACAAGGCCCCATGTATCAGCTATTTGTTTTGCAGACTCGTCAGGACCTGCACTTTTTAATTTCACTTGATTGATAACCAATACACACCAACACACTGTAAGATTTTTGAGTACTGCAAGCCTATGTAAAGCAGCCCAAACACCAGATCACAGATTAAAATTAAGGGCCAAAAAGATATAGTATTTACTCATTGCTCTGGTTTTCAACTTTTAGTGAGCTCTTAATTTATTAGTTATAATTTGTTTTTGTTGGAGAGGGTTCAGAAAAGGTTGTGAGATTTTTCTAAGCGTCAGCTTAAAAATACTTACAACTATTTCTTAAACGCCAGCTTAAGAAACGTATAAATAAAATCCAACATTAAGACCTCTAAACTTGGAGAGACGTGCTCCGAACAGGAAATGATAGTTTGTTAATAAAGAAAGGTAAATCATTCTCTAGGCTTCCGGTGGGAAACTTGGCAGCAAAAGGATTTTGACCTCAGTGGAAGGTAACTGCCACAAATGACAAATCAAGCAACTTTCTTCTTACAAGTGAGGCAAATGTTTGACACAAGGCTGGACTGCATTCAGATCTATCATTCCTTGTGGCATATTCTTCTACTTTTAACAAATAATCCTGCAAGCTTTCTGCACTGACCATATTAATTTTCCTTTTTTTTTCCCCTCTCTCTCTCCCTTTCTCTCTGAGTAAAGCCATGCAAGCCCAACATTTTTTGTGAATGATTACTTATTTCCTATTTGAAGCACAAAAGCTCATCACTTACAGAATAGGTCAAGCTTTCAGTGCCTATTAGTCCTAGTCTGGAATGAATTAATGCATTTTCCTACGTTCATTTTCCTTTTCTGTTGCAGAACAGTATATGGGGCATTTGTGCAAAGAAAGGAAGCGAAAATCCTGCATTATTCTCAGGTGAAGTAGTGAACAACAATAACAACAACAAAATACACTTAAAAATTCTATTTTAGCTTTTGTATTAGACTCACTGTGATTGTATCACTGTCAAGTCTGCAATTAGAAGTACAAGTTTTCCCAACTCAGAAGAACAAATAGGGGAAAAAATGACAAGTAGCCCAGTTTAATTTCAAACGTTAATATATTTTCTATTTTATAGTGAACATACGCATCGTTCACCCCTTATTTGCAGCAACTATGACGTCCTCATAAAAAGGGGTGACATTTGTAAGATGCCTCTTAAAATAAATATTTCTTTTTATAAAATAATAAAACTTCAAATAAATATTCTTTACACTAAACAATATGTTGAAAAAATTAGAAAATAAAGGCTGAATTTTACTGTAACTGTACAATATACATGAAGTCCAAAGGGAAATCAGAGTCTTGTAATAGAAGGTTTCCGTAAGACAAAATACAATCTAAAAACATACTGATTGATTCACATTCTTCCGAATGTACAACATATTAGTATAATATTTTGTGACTGTGCCATGTCTTATGACACCACTTATTTTTCACAGTTGAAAATATTATTGTATATACAAAAATATAGCACATTATCTCTGGCAGAAAACAACGAAAAAAAAGGAGTCATTTGCTAATTTACAAATTTTGCAAGTACTATTCACAAACAATAGAGTTGCCTAGGAGTGTCTGTGTTGCTTTAGCTTATGCAATATGTGGGTCACAATGTACTGCATCCCTTTCTTTTTTTTCTTTTTTTTTCTGTATGCCACTAGCTGGATTCTAACAAGCGTGTCAGTTAAGATGGCACACACAGAGAAAAGCATTCCACTGCAAACAGCAAAGTATATCCCCAACCCTTCTACTACAGCGCCAGGACCATAGCTGCTTAGTTGGTTGCATACGTAGGTTAAGATAACCCTTGTTACTTTATTATTTCTGACTAGTGATGGATGCTATGTTGGCTTCTCAAAGTTCCTGGGGGGGACGCTGGGAACTTTGCAGCAGACGGTATTGGAGTGTTTACAGCGGCACCCAGGCCGATTTACCCGGTCGTAACAGCCCTGGCACAACTTAAGGCAACCCTTGGCTGGTAGGTAACACCACAAGCAAGGAAGAAAGAGGGACACCACACCCATGGCGGACCACCTAGTGCAGCAATGCGACTGACTGCAGGAGCAGGGGTTGTCAGCGCAGTTGTCCTCGTCATCATTAGAGCAGTGATAGAAGAGGCCCTTCACGCAACAAACACAGGTCCCATAATCGACCACGTTCTGGGCTGAGCAAAGACACTGCTTGTCACAGATCCAACACGACGGGAGGGTCCTTGGATAAGTGCACTCCTTACACTTACACTTCCCACAGTCCTCACACCTGTAGCTGTGCGCTCCCAAGTCTTCTTTGCTCAGCGGCTTCAGCTCACTTGACTTGAGCTCAGACTTGGGCTGCATTCGGACTATCCCGTCGGTGACGGGTCCCGAAGACGACCCTAGAAGTCTTTGCTCAGATGAATTACTGCTCGTACTTGTCCTCGTACTGCTCCGCGAACCTGTGCTGACCGTGCTGATGGATCGGGACAGAGGCGCCCGAGGAGAGGCGTGTGTTTGCGTGTGCTGAATCCGGCTAAAATGACGATGCTCGGGCAAGCCGTGGGGCCTCTCATTTTTGGGTTGGGTTGCTAGTCGAGGAGTGGACTTGACCCCCAGCCTCGGAGCCACCGTAGGTCCCTCCGTGTACTCATTCGTGTTTCGGATGGCTCTGATCTGGTCCAACGACAAGACATGAACCTGCTGCATCAGGACATCCCGCAGGTCGGGCTCCCCATGCGGTCTCCCGCTGTCACGCCGAGCCTGTAGCAAGGCCTGCGACCCGCTGCCGTGCTGAGCTCTCGTCTCCATCACTGCCCGGAAGCGTGCTCACCCCGGCAGGCTTAGAACACATCTGAAATCCTGGAGCAACAAAGAGAGGATTCACTATTGCAACACATCTCATGCCCTCTCCAGCAGCCTTTCAAGCCTGCATGATCCCACAGCACCGCACGCAATCAAGCAAGGCATCAGCCATTAAAAAAAAGGGAGTTGCATCTGGGGCGGAGCGCGGGCGCTGGTCAGCTGAATGTGCTTCTCCTGGCCTGTCCTGCTTAGTCCTCTGGAGATCCTAGAGGGATTCTGTTCTAGGTCCACGCATCTTAACTTGTGGCTCTAGAAAGTCTAGGTATTGCAGCTGCTAACTCAGGCTTCTCAGGCCATCTTCTGGTTAGACCGTGGCCTTTAAAGCAATCACATTTCAGTCACTTGAAGTGACTCTTCTTTTCACATCAGCTACTGAAAAAACTTATATTACTAAAGAAAAAAAAAGCCTGCAAGTATTTAGCAAGTGTAATGTGACCTGCTGATGACAGACATATAATTCTCCAATTTTGTTTAAAACTGGGTAATATTTTGGTAGGCTAGTCTCTTTACACATTAAACTTTACATGATGTAAATAGGAAATTTTAGTTTAATACCAATGGTCCCAAGAAAAACACTAAATAGCAATAAAATGTTTGAGGTTAGACATTAAATGAGTTAGTGCTACCAAAAACTTCAACAGCACAAGTAAAAATATCTCTCTCCAATATTTTAGTGTGTGTCATACTTGTGTACACCACTGAGATTGTTATTTTAAGGCTCAATACTACAAAAGCAATGCTAACACAGCTTAATTTTTTTTAAAAATGTGTAAAAAATTCCATAAACTACGTTTCAAATTGTAAATATTACCAAGAGTGACTTGTGGGACAGAGGCATGCATAACATAATCAGACAATGCCAGCATCGAAGAAGTCTACTTGATCGCGACCATTACTTAAAGGATCATTAACTACAAAGTAGAAATGCAGACTGAAGATTCTAAATAGAAACCCAGTAAAAGAGCCAGAAGGTGAGAACTTGTAAATAACTGTCTTCCAGGCTCAGATATGCAAAGGTTTCAGGTACTGCCCTCTAAATTAAATACTTGTTTCGCCTTTATCATGTCTTAAAGCGGTTCCAAAATCCAATTACCCACACAAAAAATCCAGAAAAACATTTTACAATTAAAACCCAAGCAGGAATCAGGCTTCATACAAGGACCACACAATGTCTTCAATTATACCTAGAAAGAGCACCACTGTGTTACTCTGTACACATCAGTTACCAACAATAATACTATACCGCAGCATAATAAAATATAGCCAAACAGTTTAACAATGAGTATCTTAAGACACTGTCTTTATTCTAACAGCAGTGGAAAACATTTAACCTTTTAACTCCTGGCTCCCTCCCCTCAGGTGCTTTTTTCATTTTTTTTAAAAAAAAATTGTAACTTTTAAGAGTGACCACCTATTTTTGATATGGTCAAATCCTGGGTTTGGACAGAGCGTATGTAACGGTGTGTCCGCCTCCCCCTCCCCCAAAAAATAAATAAATTTGTAAACTTATCTTGAAGCATCGCTTCAAGTTTTCCTCAAATTAAAACCTTTGACATATAAAAAGTTACCACCAACAGCCTAAAACAAGACATTGCCCCATCCGAAATTATCTAGAGATAAAAAAAAAATAATAAAAAGAATAGAAAATAAAATACTTTCCCCATCCCTGAGAGGAACTAGCAGCCCTATCTGCCCTCCACGTCCAGATTTCAGCCGG